GAAAAAAAAACAAATATGTTGTGTTAATTAACAAATTCAGAGTTTGAATGTGGTTATGTACCAATAACTTGGGATTTAAAACCATTGGCTGGGCTGGGGATGTGGCTCAAGCGGTGGAGCGCTCCCTCGTCTGGCATGCGCGCGGCCCTGGATTCGATCCTCAGCACCACATACAAATAAAGATGTTGTGTCCGCCAAAAAATAACTATAAAAATAAATATTTAAAAAATTCTCTCTCTCTCTCTCTCTCTCTCTCTAAAAATAAAAAATAAAAAATAAAACCATTGGCTCCCCTGGTTCTCAGGTCTTCAGAATCAGGCTAGAGTAACAACACCAGCTTTACTGGGACTCCAATTTACAGACCACAAATGGAAGTTTCTGGAATTCTCAGCATATTGGTTTTGTTTCTTTGGCAAGCCCTGACTACCATCATTGATATAGACAATGTTATGTAATGATAGGAAATGTGGCTCTTTTTGTCATTGTTTTCTGTGATGCTGGGGACAGAGTGCAGAGACTTGTGCATGCTAGCCATGTGTTCTACCACTGAATCAGCCCCAGATGCAGATTTTTAAAAGGCTTTTTGCTGGTCCAACTCTCCTCCTTAGACACACGTATACAAAGACAATGCCTATACTCACTGGGTTATTCTAAAAATTTCCATCATCCTAAATTGCTAGATAATGTTATTTAAATCTAAATTAATATTGGCTATGAAAATATGAGTCACTGCCAACCAGAAAACATAAAGCAAAAAGAGAAATTCTGAGTTTTATGTATGAGTTTAAATATAGCAAAAGTGTTAAGCCAGAACAGGTCAGTTTGGGAGAGACTTTTGAAAAGCCCTGGGCTAATTTGCGTCTTGAAAAAGAGGAGATTCTGAATCAATAGAGCAGAGAATTTAACACTGGACCTTAGGCCTTTTGTAACCAAGTATGCCACAGTTGTCTTAGTCTACTTTTTCTGATTATTTGTTTGTTTCAACACTGGGGTTGAACCCAGGACCTTGTCCATGCTAGGCAAGTGCTCTTAACACTGAGCTATATTCCAACCCTTGACCCTTTGGTATTAACAAAATACCACAGGCAGAGTGGGTTAAAGCAACAGAATTTTTTTTTTTTATCACATTTCTGAAGGCTACAAGTCCATGATTAAGGAACCATCCTATTCTGCTTCTGGAGAGTACTCTTCCTGTCTTGTAGTGGCTGCCTCCTACCGTGTCGTCACATGGCCTTCGGTGTGTGTGTGTGTGTGTGTGTGTGTGTGTGTGTGTGTGTGTGTTGCAGGCAAGCTCTTAATGTCAGCTCCCTTTTCTTTTATTTTCATCCTGGAAGTTGAACTTAAGGCCTCATGCATGATAAACATGCTCTACCACGGAGCTACTCCTCTTCTCATAAGGACATTAATCCTTAGGGCCCCATGTAACTCTATTAATTCTAAAGGCTCTATCTCCAAATTCATCCACAGTGGGCATTGGGGCTTCAACATTTGGATTTGGTGGGATACAAACATCCACTCCAAAATAAGAGTGAACATCTGTCATAGAAAGGGTGATCCAAACCTCAGGCTAACATTCCGTCTGCATTTCCATTGTGAAGCTTGTCTAGGTAAAGATTCTACCTTGATCAAAGACCTCCAGTAAACAAGAGGAAATGAGAAGACCTTGGGATTTCATCTTTGTGTTTGAACTTCATCCATTTTGTCTTTCACATCAGCATCTCAAATTTTGCCAACATGTTCAGGTTGTAACCCCTCTGATTAAGGAAATAAGGCTTGCCCTTCCTTAATAGGCAATTAGCTTTTACAATTAAAAAGAGAGTCATGATTAATGACCTTGCTAATTGTTCTTCCTCAGTGTGCACATTAATATAAGTAGAATGCTCAGAATTCTCAGGAACATTCATTCTTTGAGTTTACCATGCTCTATCATTGTGGATTCAAAGCTGAGGAGAAACAAACTCTGCTCTACAGGAGATCAGAATCTAGTAAGAAAAGGTATGTGAGCACATGTATTACAGGAAAAGGAAGATACCTTGTCAATTTTCCTCATGTCTGGCACAGCATCAATGTAAGCCACACCTCAACCAACCAACAACCACCAATAACCCCAGCAGACCAGTATCAGAATCTTTCCTGAATGCATGTGATGCAGTTAAAAAACAGCACCACATGTATTCAGCAAAGATTCTGAACCACTGGTGGTATGGCAGTTTTCTAGGATATTTCAAAGCAGAGTGAAATGTTCAAGCCATACAAACTAAACAGAACTCAGAATCCTACTCTAAAAAGAAGCTAAAACAATATTCAATATTAGAAACCAACTCCTCCATTAAGTCTCTTCTAATTCTAAGCTGGAAGTGACCACTTGGCCACAGAACACTACAGCACTCCACTCACCTGCCCTATGCCATTCAATGCTTTCTTATAGAATCTCATCATTTATGGGAAGTGATGCATCCTAAAAGCCAAATTTCAGAACCACAGAATAAGAAAGCTCTTGGGGTGATCCTTTGATTCTGCTTCCTCCACTTAGAGATGAAGAAACTGAAGCATATTCAAGGAATGAAGTTTATCGAGAAATTAGGACCCTCAAAGGGGAGACAGTTAACCACAGACTTAAAGAAGCAAGGGAATTTGGGCTGGGGTTGTGGTTCAGTGGTAGAACACTTGCCTGGCATGTGTAAGGCCCTGGGTTCCATCCTTAGCACCACACATAAACAAATAAACAAGCAAATAAAATAAAGGTCCATTTACAACTAAAAAATATACATATTAAAAAAAAAAGAAGCAAGGGAATTTAAAAAGTGCCTGGAAAGGACTTGATCTCAGGACACCTCAGAGCCATCATGCATTTGTAGGTGGGACAGAGAGTAAGAAGGAGGATGGCAGAGAGGATGAGGTCAGAGAGGAGCAAGGGTCTGATGTTGAAGGAACTCACAAAAAATAATTTAAGGGAAATGAGAGCCACTGGGAGTATTTTATTTTAAAAATCAGCTTTAGTGAAGTGTAATTTACACAGAGGAAAATTCATCAACTTTAAGGGTACAATTTCATTGGTTTTAACAAATGCAGAGAGCTGAGTAAACACCACCACAAACAAGATATAGAACACCTCCATCACCTCAAAAAGTTCCCTTGTGTCCCTTTGGAGTCGATCTCTGTTCCAGTTCCCAGCTCTTGGCAACCTGGATCTGATTTCTGTTCCTATATTTTGCCTTTTTGAGAATTTCATGTAAGTGGAATGTTTTAGTCAGCTTTTGTATTGTTCTGATCAAAAAACCTGACAAGAACAACTTCAAAGGAGTTTATCTTGGCTCACAGCTTTAGAGTTTCAGTCTATGGTTGGCCAACTCCATAACTCTGGGCCCAAGGTGAGGGAGAACATCATGGCGGAAGGGCATGTCAGAGGAGAGCAGCTTAGAACATGACAGCTAGGAAGCAGAGAGAAAGAGAGCTTCACTCACAAGGGTCAAAATATAAACCTGAAAGGTATGTCTCCAGTTACCTACTTCCTCTATCCACACCTTACCTGCCTATAGTTACTGCCCAGTTAATCCATACCAGTGGATTAATCCATTGATTAGGTTATACTTCTCATAATCTAATCATTTTACCTCTGAAAAATTCTTGCATTTTCTCACACATGAGTTTTGGGGGGTGGGGGGACACCTCATATATAACCATAACAGGAATTATAGGTATTAACCTTTTGCATCTAGCTTCTTTTACCTAGAACAATGTTTTTGAAATTCACCCAAGTGTTGCATGTATGAGTAGTTCATTCTTTTTCTTACTGAGTGTAATTCCATTGTGTGAATGCACCATAGTTTGTTTATCCATTTAACTGTTGAAAAATATCTGAATTGATTCCATTTGGGCACTATTATAAATTAAACTGCTATAAACATTTATGTGGAGGAGTTTTTATTTGTCTTGGATTAATCTCTGGGAATGAAAAGTCAATGTCATATGTAAATGTATACTTAGCTTTATAAGAAACTGCACAACTGTTTTACAAAGTGGATATCTATTTTGTATTTTCATCAATAGCGTTTAAGAGTTCCAGTTTGCCATGCATCCTCATCATATTTGATATTATCAGGTTTCAAGTTTTAGCCATGCTAATAATGCAGCTTAATTATAAGTCTTGAAATCAGATGATTTTTAACATTCATTCCCTATTGAATAATTTTTTTTTGTGCTTATTTGCCATCTATTCTCTCTTCCTTGGTGATGTATCTGTTCAAATCTTTCGCCCATTATTTTTAGTCTTATTATTAAGTTATAAAAGTAATTTTTATGTGTTCAATACAAGTTCTT